TCCTTCCTTCCTCCCTCCCTCCCTCCCTCCCTTCCTTCCCTCCTTCCGTTCCCTCCCTTCCGTTCCCTATCCATCCATCTATCCATCCATTCATCCACCCCAGCTTAAGGGTGACTCAGCATTCTATCCTTCCAAAGCCGGTAAAACGAGGACCCAGATTGTTGGGGGGCAATATGCTGACTCTGTAAATCGCTTAGAGAGGGCTGGGAAGCACTATGAAGCGGTATATAAATCTAAGTGCTATTGCTATTTCTTCCTTCTTTCTTTCCTTCCTTCCTTCCTTCCTTCCTTCCTTCCTTCCTTCCTTCCTTCCTTCCTTCCTTCCTTCCTCCCTCCCTCCTTTTCCTTCTTTCTTTCCTTCCTTCCTTCTTTCTTTCCTCCCTCCCTCTGTTTCTTTCTTTCTTTTTTCCTTCCTTATTTCCTTTCTTCCTCCCTCCCTCCGTTTCTTTCTTTCTTTTTTCCTTCCTTATTTCTCCATTCTTTCCTTTCTTCCTCCTTTCCTCCTTTTCCTTCTTTCTTTCCTTCCTTCCTCCCTCCCTCCTTTTCCTTCTTTCCTTCCTTCCTTCTTTCCTTCCTTCCTCCCTCCCTCTCTCCATTTCTTTCTTTCTTTTTTCCTTCTTTCTTTCCTTCTTTCCTTCCTTCTTTCCTCGGTTCTTTCCTTCCTTCCTCCCTCCCTCCCTCCTTTTCCTTCTTTCCTTTCTCCCTTCCTTCCTCCCTTCCTCTTTTTCCTTCCTCCTTTTCCTTCTTTCTTTCCTTCTTTTTTCCTCCCTCCCTCCTTTTCCTTCCTTCCTTCTTTTCTTCCTTCTTTCCTTCCTTCCTCCCTCCCTCTCTCTATTTCTTTCTTTCTTCCTTCTTTCTTTCCTTCTTGCCTTCCTTCTTTCCTTCCTTCCTCCCCCTCTTCCTCCTTTTCCTTCTTTCCTTCCTTCCTTCCCCCCTTCCTCTTTTTCCCTCCTCCTTTTCCTTCTTTCTTCCCTTCTTTTTTTCCTCCCTCCCTCCCTCCTTTTCCTTCTTTCTCTCTTTCCTTTTTTCCTTCCTTCTTTCTTTCCTTCCTTCCTTCCTTCCTTCCACAGCCAGGAGTTCAATCCTGACCGGCTCAAGATTGATCCAACCTTCCATCCTTCTGACGTCAGTAAATTGAGGACTCAGATGGTTGGGGACAAGAGGCTGACTCTGTAAACCACCTAGAGAGGCCTGTAAAGTGGTATATAAGTCACTATTATAAGCGGTATATAAGTCACAATTGCTATTGCCATTCTTCCTTCCTGGGGTCAGAGTCAAGAGAGCAATCAGCCTAGAATCATTTAAGTTGTCACAAATGGTTTAAGTTCAACCCTTTTTGAATCCCGTTGATTCTGATCTAGCGCCAATTTAGCCCTGACTGTTAGTTGACCAGATTCTTCCGTGTGCGAATCAGCTTCCCTGAAACGTAACGTGTGGTCCTTAATCCTCATGCCTGACACACATACGCACCCCCAGTGAATCTCAACTCACTAGTTACTCACGTAAAGAGAGTTGCGTAGAGATTTTCCAAGTGGTATCCCAGTCTCGGGCTTGAAGAGGGGTGAGTTAAAATCCACTTTCCTTTCCACATATTGGTTATCATTCACGCCGGCACCGTAGGGGTACAAGGACACTGCTGCACCTGTAAACCATGTGACAAAAATTGAGGCCATTTTGGTTTGTTTTTTATTCAGCCGCTTTTGACTTTCATTCTCGGTTAGATCATGGTTTAAATTTAAACCAGGAATTCTGAGAATGTTGATGGATATTAAGGCATAAAACCTGATTGCTGTTATAACCATTATCACGCTCAGTCACATTTAACATTTTTTGTGTCCACTGTTTTTGGACAGAAGGACGGTAAAACGACTCTAAGAAGAATAAAAGCAATTTCAGGGCTTCTTTTGTTGATTTACACATCAGCCATAGCTTATTAAGTGATAATTTACTTTGAAAAGCTCGGTTTCTAATGAACATCAGATAGTCCTCGACTTATGCCCATGTATGACCAGAATTTCCATTGCTAAATAAGGCAGTTGTTAAGTGAATGCCTGATTTTACGAGCCTTATGGCCACGGTTAAGCAAATCGCTGCAGTCTTTAAGTGAACCACATGGTCTTTAAGTGAATCCAGCTCCCCCTCCACGGACTTTGCTTGTCAGAAGCTGGCTGGGAAGGCCGCAAACGGCGACCATGTGCCAAGCATCCAAATTTGGATCACGTGACGGTGGGATGCTGCCACGGTTATAAGTGTGAGGATGAGCGATCCCTTTTTTTCAGCCCCGTTGTAACTTTGAACACTCAAAGGAAGGGCTCTAAGTCAAGGACTAACTGTTATTGCTGCTAAAATGGGATTGGATGGCATGTGTCCCGAGAAGTGGTCAAAAAATCAAAATGGCGGCGACCAGGTGATTCGAGCCCCGCCCCCTTTTGGAGTTTGCAGCCCGCCATCTTGATTCTTTTGATCGCCCCCACATGGATGACTCCGTTGGATGCATAACATGGACGCCACAGGGAGGGGAGAACCTGGAACCCCAGGGATGGGCCCAATTATGGACCCTTTAGGACGTGTGGACTTCGATTCCCATAATTCCATGCTGTCTCGGGAATTCTGGGAGTTGAAGTCCGCAGGTCGTCAAGGGACCAGGGCTGCTCACCTCTCCTGTTAATCCTGTTAGTAGGAAGACTGTGGTCTACCCCGTTTCCCTGAAAAATACCCCCTACCCTGAAAGTAAGTCCTAGCTTGATTTCTACACGTGCACCCAATATAAGCCCTACTCCCCAAAATAAGCCCTAATTAACATCCCAGCCACTCCAAAGTGGACGGGTAAAAATTAAGCTAGGGTGAGGATTGGGAGGGGGCTGGAGCTGCCCTACTACTTACCTTTGGACAGGTGTAGCCAGGCCTCGCATATCCTGACACCTGCCTGGCCGGCCTATTTCTTCTGCAGCTGGCAAGGTTGTCAAGGCTTTTCTGAAGGCCTCTGGAGCTGAGAACAAAGCTCTGGATCGATCCTGAGCTCCGTTACCAGCTGCAGAGGCCTTCAGGAAAGCCTTGCTAGCCACAGAAGAAGTTCCTGAAGGTCTCTGACAGCGAAAAGGAGGCCAGGAGCAACGTGCACAAGTGAGGTTAGTCAGTGGAGGATGTCCCCCCAAAATAAGACCTGGTGCTTTTTTTTGGTGGCAAAAAAAAATATAAGACAGGGTCTTATTTTGGGGGAAACACGGTAGCAGCAAAGAAAATGTGGTTTCTCACCAACCCACCTGATGGTGCACCAGTCATGATGGCGGAGTTTTCAACTGGTTTGGTTTTCTTGTCCTTGGACTTCTTCGAATCGGACTTCTTCGAATCGGACTTCTTCGAATCGGACTTCTTCGAATCGGACTTCTTCTTTGCGGGTTTGCCGGTGGGTTTTGAGGACTTGGCGGCTAGTAGGCCCACTCCGGATAAGGCAAGATGAACACCGGGCTCGCTCCCTTCTGTTTTGGCTTTGCTTAAGTCAAGAGCGACCTTCCCTTTCATTAAAGTCTGGTGCTCTTTTGACAAGTTAGGGCCACTTGAAGAGTCCTCATCATTCTCATCTGAAGCAGAAGAGCTGTCTGAAGATGCGGGACCCGGCTTCCCAGGAAGGATGTGGCCCGAGTTGGCTAGGATGTCAGAGTTGAAGGACAGGAGAGGATAATCTGTTTTGAGTTGAACTCCTGATCTTAAAGAAGGTAACAGTGGCATCTCCTCTGGGACTGAAGTCTTGAAGGACAGGAGAGGAGAACCTGCTTTGAGTTGAAGTCCTGGTTTTCCA